TGCTTATAGTCATAGCAAAACTCAAAACTACAAGTAAGATTCTAAATATGTGTAAATTTGTTTTTTCTTAGGGTAAAATTTCGAGACGTTTGTTGAAGAAGACAGTGTAAGTGAAGTTTAGAATAAGGTATCATACTATGATTTATTTGTTTCGTTGTTGTAATAATTGCTTACCAACAAATTGTGCTAACTTTCTTGTGATACAAACAAGATGTGGTAAAACATCTCTATCCATGAATCTGACAGGCTGCCGTTCTATGTAGTACTGCCATTGATGCTTAGCGTCTACTGCATCTTTCAGGGCTGCACCAAATGCTCCATGATTCAGAAAAGTAAAGTCCTAGTAATTTCAGAGTAAATATATTTAGTGGTAAAAATTACTGAAATGGTTATGGAAATAACCAACAATAGTTTCTAATCAAAAATGCCTGGTTTTGGAAATAATCTATGATTCTTGACTGGGGTAAAATCAAAGAAGAAATGACATCACACAGGCTTTTCAAAGAACCATGGGGCCCACAAAGGTCAAATGGAGGTCATGGGGTCAAATGGAGGTCATGAAGCCAAATGAAGGGTACATGATTAAATGGAGGTCACAGGGTCAATCACTGATGACCTTGTTCTTGTGTTCTATTATCTATGTTTAGCTATGTTATGTAATGTATAATGTGTTTGGCCACTGAAACCTGGTTACCTTGACTACGGAGCTTGTGAAAGAAACCATCTTGGTTTTCAGTTACAAGCAGCATGTCCTGTCTGTTAGTGTTTTGTTACATAAACACCACACTTGTTACAATCAGAACAAGATCAACTGACATGCACATGCATGAAACTTACATAGAAGATGATCTTCATCCCAATATATTGCCATACATGGTTATGAATTGCGTCAATCTTTAAACCTAATTTCATGTATGCCACCGCCATGGGTCAATAAGGTGTATATGGTTAGTATATACTTACTTCAAGTAAAAAGTGTTTTTTTCTTATTTCTTTTCCAAATACTGGCCAATAGTGTGGAGTGTCATGACTTGTAAATGTTGGCAATTCAACTGGTATTTTTGGTGCCTCGTACTCTTCCTGTAAAATAACATTCTCATTGTTTTCAAGAACTCACATATTTCATCAAATCTAGGATAATTATCCTACCATCCTTACATATAGCATGCCAGCAAAATGTATATAAAACCAATCTTCTTCTAAGTTTCAGAGAATTTAAAATGGAAGTTTAATGAGCACTCCTTGTAAATACCTGAACGTGAACACATAGATACAGTGGGTGACAGAAACCTGGGGATGTTATAAGCTTTTTATAAATATAAATTTTATAAATCAAAATGGCCAAATTCAAATTGACCAACTGAGAAACAATATTATAACATCATTATTGAGTTTAAACACTTAATTCTGATTAAGTGGGTAGTCATAGTTGCCATGTCAAGTGAAGATTTGCCCATTATGAGAGTAGACAATGTTGAGCATTTGAGCCAATCACTATCGGTGCTAATATTTGAATTTGAACAAAAGGTGATAATCAATATTTCTATTTCTATCAATATTTTTACAAACTAAAGTTTAACTGTAGTATAAAAATAAAATAATAAAATAAGTTTTCCCTATATTGAATAATCAGCAACTGCGTAATTATGACCGATTTTCTACTTAAATATGTAAGTTTTCCATTTCCTGTGAAATATTATTTCTTAAAATCAGTCTGAGCCTCTAACATGGCATAATCCATAGATTTCTTGAAAATTTGTTTTATATGAAAACAACTCAATTTGATGATCGATATTTGGGGCATTCCATGAAAAAGTGTTATTCATTTTCTATTCCATAAAATGAGGATTGACCAAATATTCTATCTTCTAAAATTTGTTATGGATTAGTATGCCTTCCTGTTTCAATGGCTAGATTGTGGTTGTTTTTTAGGAACTTAGCTACGTAATGGATGTATGATCTACTTACATGCGATATTTCTATCAGATCTTGCACATTGGAGGAATGAAAAGATCCAAAATCACGTTTATTTCCTATAACATAAACACAATATATATGAAATTATTAAAGGTGGTGTGCAGGAATGTGAATCAAACATACAAGATGTACATTTTTTCTCCAGACCTTGAAAAAAACTTGCTCTGTTCAAGGAGCACAAAGCAAAAAATTTGTTAATCAAAAAATGACAGAATCGATTATGCAAAAAAAGTCCCCATGAATTTATGATGTTTCTCACGATGTAAAGAGTATATGTACTTCACAGCTTTGTTATTTGCATTTTCAGAAAACAATCCCTTGCCTAGGAAAATATTGTCCACCATATTGTATTGAAATAAATTTGATGATAATATTTTTTTGATGGTAGCTGATCATGCCATCTGAGGCTAATTTTATACCCATTTAATCCCAGGTAGTCACTAAACTGTTGAGTCACAGTGGAGTCAATAAGCATGTTTTACATTTTTTATAAACTCGAATGTAATAATAATATTAAATAATAATTTCATTTATTACACCATAATGAAAGTTAACAAATCATTTTAGGCTGTTATGTAATAAATTTAAAAGTTAAAGAAAATTATAAATGCAGTATAAAATGGCAAATTAGCCTGAGATAGTGTGGTGATATACAATCATGTATGATAATGTATGAGCTTGAGCATTGACATTACATATGCTCATGGTGTGGTTAGAAAATATCAATCACAAACCACCATAGGCTGTCTGTTTGATTGATTGATTGATTGATTGATTGATTGATTGAAAACAACATATTAGGAAGAAAACATATTTTGCACAGTTTTCCTGCCATCGCCCAACTTTTTCTAATGGTCCAACCCAGAATATTCTTTTTTTCTGTATTTCTGTATTCACCCCACATTTTCTTATGGTCAATCCCTTATTGCCATGTTTCTGATACAGTGAACTAATATTCAACATGAGCGTCTGCTGAGGTTTGTGATTGGTTGCGACGTGCAGCACAGATTTCGTACAAATGTATTCGTGGGTAGAACGATCGGGAGCTGTTTATCAACGTGACTGAAGTCTCCAACTGTACGGTACAGGCACAGGGACTGTGGTACTTAGCTGACGGTCATACTCAATATCTATCATAATGGAAAGTATATGTCAACATTAAAAAACGCACCTGTTATGGGGTTAGTTGCCATCGTTCGTTTGTCACGTGGACAACAAAGTAAAGCGGGCAGTGTGTAATTGCATCAGCAGTATCTGAATGTGTAGGAATCGATCAATTCTCGTACGAGTCTCAGTGTGTTGAGATCAACGTTAACCTGGTCCCGTCCCTAGAGGTCGCTATTGCCGACAAATATCGACATTAGTGACCTCGATAGTGTGGTGACCTGACCCAAGTTAAGTTGCCCCCCTAAGTCAGCTATCATTCACCGCGGTGATTGATTTGTTGCAGGTCGTCAAACAGCATGCAAACCTATACCAGCAAAAAATTCAAACCTATGCCCCCAAACTGACTGCAAGATATCTACATCTATTCATGGAAAGTAGGATAAAACACCAGTTTTACAATTACATATTGAATACCGTAAAACAAATATTAAAAGTAAAAAAAATGGTTAGACAGATTGGAGAATATTTAGATAACTTTTTTTCAATTTAGAATATTTTTTTCTTTTTAAACTATTTTTTTTGTATGTTATTGTTAACACTTCATTGCTGTACATTGATAGAAATGTTATTTCGAAACACAGTCCTTCTAAAGATTCAATAAGATGTAATGATTATGGTTATTTTTATTAACAGAGTAAGATATGTTTATGTATTAATAGTCATATTTCACAACAGAAATTATCTTTTTCAAAATATGTATATCAAACGAAGGCTTATGAAATTTAATAAATGTAAGTAAGCTGTTTTGGAAGTAATCTGTCTGGTTTCCACGAATATTTTTGAAATGATTCTTCATTTATAAGTCAAAAAGTTATGGACATATGTTCATGACATATCTAGGATGGATCCGAAAGACGGGATTCTAAAGGCAAGGTATCTAAAGTTAAATGGACCAACATTTGCATATCCGAATTGCATACGAGTATATATGTAAACACACCAACATTCTCAAAAACACAATATCTTAGACTTGCTTGCAGTCTGTTGCGATTCCGACGAAAAATTCTTGAAAAATAAATATTGGGATTTCGCGATTACAGGACTTTCGCGTTCATCCCTCGTTTACGCAATTTATATTTATTTTTCATCGGGATCGCAATCTCTATTCAAGTAAACAAATAAACTTCCTCAGTATGTTGCAGAGTTTCAGAGTAGCAACGTACATTACAATGTTAGACAAACCACGGACATGACGTCATCTACTATCGTGAAACTAATTATGAATACTAGAATAGTGAATTGGTCTGGATGGCTGCAGGTCTTACGTACGAGTCTTACCGTCGCAAGTCTGTGTATATACGAGTTCCCATGGTAATCTACTGACGTCATGCTGGAGAAAGCAAATCAGTGATGACACATAACTCTATGCTGTCTACATAGCAACAGACTGTTGTCTAGCGTTCTGGGAAGAGTACTTCCGGGTGGCAAATCCTATTCGACGAAATCCGGAATTCTGGTCGGAATCCGAAATTGCGGCCGGAATTCGGTTTCAAGTTGGGTACAGAATACTTGGCAGGAATGCAATGTTGTCAACTAGTTTAGAGCGCCGCAAATATCCCTTCCTATAAGATACCTTATAATTACCTGCATTAGAGTGAAGTAGCGATCAGTGAGGTATGTAACTACGGTGAAACTAGGGAACGCTGCCTAAATCAAACGCCGGATAATTCGAAGCTAATGAACTGTAATTTAAAATAAGCATAACTCTTCTAAATTTTAGTCAATTTAATACAAAACTGAACAAACTGCCTCAATTAATGTAGATTGCTTTTATTACTACATGTGTCATGTCTGCCTCAATGAATGTAGATTGCAGTTATTACCACAGGTGTTATGTCTGTCCCAATGAATGTAGATTGCTGTCATTACTACAGGTGTTATGTCTGCTTCAATGAATGTAGATTGCAGTTATTACTACACATGTCATGTCTGTCTCAATGAATGTAGATTGCTGTTATTACTACAGGTGTCATGTCTGCTTCAATGAATGTAGATTGCAGTTATTACTACACATGTCATGTCTGTCTCAATGAATGTAGACTGCTGTTATTACTATAGGTGTCAGGTCTGCCTCAATGAAAGTAGATTGCAGTTATTACTACACATGTCATGTCTGTCTCAATGAATGTAGATTGCTGTTATTACTACAGGTGTCAGGTCTGCCTCAATGAAAGTAGATTGCTGTTATTACTACAGGTGTCATGTCTGCCTCAATGAATGTAGATTGCTGTCATTACTACAGGTGTCACGTCTGTCTCAATGAATGTAGATTGCTGTCATTACTACATGTGTCATGTCTGCCTCAATTAAAGTAGATTGCTGTTATTACTACATGTGTCAGGTCTGCCTCAATGAAAGTAGATTGCAGTTATTACTACATGTGTCAGGTCTATCTCAATGAATGTAGATTGCTGTTATTACTACAGG